AGTGAAAAATAAACTCCATGATGTTTCCAAGCTTTGTTAGTTCTACATTACTGCGTAAGAATGCTAAATCCATATCAATACCACCTCTGCCCAAGCTTAGAATCTTCTTATATCAGTTCTTTTCAAACATTGGGCAAATTACTCAAAATTATGTCAAAGTGATTTATCTATGAGTACTGACACACTCTGACATGGAGATTAAAATTTTTCATAACAATTTCAATGGAGAGCTGCAGACTTGCTTCACAGAGGTTGGACTTGACACTCTGAATTGACCACAGAGAATTGAACACATTTTTGCCAAACTTTGTAGTAATAATTAAAATGTTTTCATCAAGCAAATGATCACGTTCAGATCAGTCACTGGAAAACATTTTTTTTAAGAAAACAAGGACTGTCTTTCAGCTTAACATTATATGATGAATTTTCTGTGGTAGCTGGAGTGACCAAGATGCAATTATTGCCATTTCCAAAGACCTTCAACTACTGAACACACAAGATTATGTGGCCTTTCCCAGAAATGGTAACTAAGTTCCACTCAGCATAGTTGCAATATAAACTGCAGATTTGCTCTGTGTGTGTTGAAGAAATACAAAAGTGCCTGAGCAGGTGTCATCAACAGGGATCAATCTTAGTAGATTGCCTAGTCTCTTAAAACAGCCAGATACCTACTACATATAGAAATTTCTAATCTAGATCTCATAAAAAAAAAAAAACACAAAATGAAACTTTGCTGAATCCTGAATATAACCTGAAGTGTGTTCTGTCTCCGGTTACTTCCAATTTTGATGAACTGGTACATAAAATAAAACTGAGGCATTTTTCTCATATTGCTGAATGATCAAATATTCATATTAAATGATTTGTTTTTAATGGCTGTAAAAAAAAAAAAAAAAACATTGTGCAAAAGGCACTTTTTGATGAGTATCTTTGTGTAAATGGGTAAAAAGACTTAGAAGCTTCTACTATGTTTGTTGTTGTTTTTTTTTTTTTAAAGCATTTCACGCCAAGCAAGGCAGGAGTGCCACTAGCATACAAGGGGTTACAGAGAGTGAAAGTAAGAGTAAAGAGGGATGTTTGAGGAAAGGATAAAGAGAAGGACATGGATCAAGATCAAGGCATCAGAAAATGTTAATTGACATTACATTTAAATTTTTGAAGATTATAGTTATCAGGGAAATAAGTAAGAGGAAGGAAGTTCCACTGTCATGAAGTGCAAGAGAAGCTGTTGGAGTAGAAATTACTTTTAACTGTTTTGACAGAAAAAGGGTAGGACCAAGATGGCAACTTTAGTAGCATGCTTAAATTCATGCACCAGTAAAAATAGCTCATCAAAGCAGTTGCCATGAAAATATTTGTAAAGACAGAGGGAAGCTACATTGTGTCTGTGAGAAACTGACTGGAGTCAAGATGCCAGGTCAAGACCTATTACAGTGCATATCCATCTTTGGATTTTGTCGAGAACCTAGAGATGAACAGCAAGGGCACCAGACCATATATGTCAACAATATTCAATGCAAGGATGAAAGGTAGAGTTGCAGATTTGAAAGATGGACTCAGACGTGAAAAACCTTCTGGGGCAACACAGAACCAACTTTCTTTGCTCTTGATAAAAACCAAAGAAGAATCTGCAATGTTATCAGCCCTGACATCTCAGCTTCAGTCACTTTCCCACCACTGTAATGTAGCTTCCCTGTGCCTTTTCTATAAATATTTTCATGGTAATTGTTTTGATGAGCTTTCCTATTATATACCGAGACTTTGTGAATTTCAACACAATACTAAATTGGCAGCTAGGTTTCATCATTTTACAGTTGAAATGGCCGGATGTAGCTGTAAGTTCTATGATAACAGTTTCTTCTCTCGTACTTATCGCTTGTGGAACTTTCTTCCAGTTTCCTGCTTTCCAACCAACTTTGTCAAAGATTTAAATGCAATGTCAATCATTATCTACTGGCTTCTTAATTTCAGTTCTTTTTTTGTTCTTGCTCCTTAATAGTGTTTTTTTTTATACTTTGGGGCAAGGAGTGGCATGTTAATTTTAACGCTTCAAAAACGAAACTGATCTCTTTTAATTATCAGAGAGAACTCTTTTTACTATCCTTCAGCATAGTTAATGCTAACCCCCAAGAGAGGTACTCATTGCACCTTCTCAGACTAACCTTTTCAGCTGACATGAAGCGGAAAGAGTATATTGAATCAATTGCTAAGTCCACAGTTAAGAACGTTGGGTCACTATGCCATGCCAGACAATTTGCCTTTGTTTTGAATAATTGCTACCACATCTGGTCTGGTGATCCTACTATATATTTGGAGATTCTTGATAAAATCCAAAGAATCTGCAATGTTATTGACCTGACCAGGCATCTCGGCTTCAGTCACTTTCCCACTGTCGTAATGTAGCTTCCCTGTGTCTTTTCTATAAATACTTTCGTGGTAATTGTTCTGATGAACTTTCCACTTAAGTTCATAAAGTCTAGGTACTAGACTTTATGAACTTAAGCACAGTACTAGATTGGCAGCTAGGTCTCATCATTTTACAATTGAAATGGCTAAATGTAACCGTAAGTTCTATGCAAACAGTTTCTTTTATCACACTTCTTGCTTGTGGAACTCTTTTGGTTTCTTGTTTCCCAGTCAACTTTGATCTTCAAAGATTTAAATGCAATGTCAATTGTTATCTTCTGTCTTTTTAATTCTTGTTCTTATTGTCCTCTCACCTTAATAGTAGTTTTTCTCATATTCTCTAACACTCAATCACCCCTTGCATCTTTATTGCCTTGCTTAGGATGAAATGATTGAAAACACACACACAGGCCAGTAAACAAAAATGATACTGTTTAAAAACAGAAATATCTATTCAAACATGTGTATACACTTACAAATTAATTACACAATTTTACTCATTCCATAAAGAAAATTCTAGTATTTTGTTCTATGCAGTTAACTCAACTGTCACAGTTAAGGATGAATTTTGCTCTAAGAGTCATTTAAAACTATCCAAAGAATGCTAACTTGAGACAAAAGAAATAAAAAGCACTATATCAGGGTTAGAAACCTGGTTTCCCCTACTTATTAATGTGTTCGTTGTTAATACAAAGGATTTTTTTTTATTGATGCCGATTAATGCTTCCTGTTAAAGAAGGAATATCACATTATCTCAAACAGGAGAGATGAGGATGCGTAAACGATATATACAGTCACGGTGTTGTTGTATACTGAGTTGTTTTTTTTAAATCTTTTATCGCAAGTATGTATTTAATTTTAGATTTTTGTAGAAATTTAAAAACTGAAGCATTGATTTTATAAAAATGAAAATAATATTATTATAAAAAGCCGAAGTTTTAAAAATAAAATTTTTATTTTTAAAACTTCCGCTTTTTTGTTCGATTATTTTATTTCAGCTTTCTTTTACTTTTAAAAGTTTAAATGCCAATCATATTTTTATTTTTAATGTTTGAGCTTTTGATTTGTTTTGTTTAAAAAACGCTTTCAGCTGTTAAAAATGAATGCTTATAATTATTTTTCAAGTCAAAAATATTACTGATATAAAAATATTTTTAAAAAAGATCTATTTTTATTTTAACTATTTATCAGTTTTTAATCGCCCGAAGTTCGGACGAAACACACGATTTCAACAAAAAAAAAAAAAAAAAAAAAGATTAAGAATCAAATTAAAAATTAATAAAACGTCAATGTAAAAAGATGAAGATTCTGGTCTTAAAAAACAAAAACAAAAATAAACATTAGTGTTTTTTTTTTGTTTTTTGTTTTTAAGAAAAATGTACAAGTTAGCATTCAACTTTTGTTTGCTTCAGCTTTTGGGGTCTAAAAATATTTTACACGCAATCACTATTACCACCAAACCACAAGTAAATGGGTGGAGCTACAAATCCTAAAATTTTACCTAGACATCAAGAAATGTCCTAACTGACCATGTTTTTTCTTAATTATTCAAAAGATGGGTCCACGGTCCCGCCCGAAAGACGAATATTAGTGTTACTAGTTTACATTAGTGCTAGGTAAACTCTTTTGTACGCATAACTTTAGTAATTAGTTTTATCCCGATGTGATGTTTTATTTATTCTAATTTGATCATTAATAAATAAAAGGTTTTTCTTAATAAATTTGATTGGACGACATAGACGAATGTTTTTATTTTCCTTTAAAACAGGACGGAAGAAAGCTTATCTATTTCATCTACCTAAAGGTTTGTTTTTTTTTTTTTTTAAATAGTTTTCTTCCGGTTCTCTGTGAAAACAAGTTTAAATATCTTTCCTGTTTACAGTTTTTTGGGGTTTTTTTTTAATAAAAAGAGAGAGAGAGGAGACAAAAAAGGCAAACATTCGGTTTGGTATCAGTGCTTGTGCTCTGGATTTAAAATTCTCTTCGTTTTTCACCAGAAAAATAATCATTACAAAGTTAAAAAAAAAAAAAAAAAAGGGTTATCAGTTTTGAATTAAATTTAAATAAATAAATAAATAACGCGGGAAAGATTGCTATTGATTTGGTTGATCATCAAAGACCGATTTGTTGTTTAGTTTGAATTTTTCTCCTACACGTTTTCTCTTCTTTCTTTCCAACAACAACAACAGGGTTGTCCTCTTTTTTTCTTTTTAAGTGTGAAGGATAAAAAAAATGGAGATGTGATGAAAAACAAGATGGATTTGACTTCAAAAATAAATAATAAAGAAAAGATCAACAAATAATACTTTTTTTTTTTAAAAAAAAAAAAAAAAAAAAAAATTTTACACTGAAAAAAATAACATGTCGGTGATAAGTCATCAGACCAATTTGTCATTATTCAAATAATAAAAAGAAGTTGATTATAAAAAAAAATAAAATAAAAAGAGAAAAAGTTAACAGGTGAACTACAATAATAACGCCTATCTTTTTCTATCACGCACTTTCCCTCAACAACAGCAACTGAGTGAGTCACACTGTCACAAAATCAACGATCTCGCTTCATTCCGTCTGTCTTAAAATGAAATGAAACTTACCGGTAAAGAGTCAAAATTCGACGTAGGGCAAGAAGAATCCATATCAACTTGAAATAAGTCAATAACTGTAGATGACACCGTCGGGTTCCACCGACCCTCCAAATCTACGTTGAAGTCTCGGGCCCTTCCTCTGCCTTCCTCAGGGTGTACAACGCTAGCAGAAATAGTACCGATTATTTTTCCTTTAGCGTCACGATCCGAAGTAGGTTGTATTCGCATACAACTATTAGCGGCCACTCCCAGGTTTTCTGGGTGTACAGAGTTATCGTGATTAATATACAAATTATTATTATGAAAATTGTTCCTAGTGCCGTTGCCGTCACAAATAGATGACCTCTTAAGAAAATGTTGAAGCCCACCAAACCCCACATAAAGGTTATCTGTTCTGATTAATTTTTTATAAAGACCGATAAGATGTTCGATGTTATTTGGCTGGGCAGCCTCCTCGACGGAAACTGAAAGCTGGTTTGTTGTTTTTGTGAGTGTTGGGGTTCGATCTTCGATTGGGAGGAGGACGAACGGGGTTGCTATTGGAGACACGGAAAACAATGATGATTCCATGCCGGAATTCTACGGAATTTAAAATTAAAACTTTGTTATTTACGGGGAAAATATTGAAGAAAAAATGCCGCTCAGATGAATTTTTAAAAAAAGAAATTTATTTTCTATAGGGCGATTAATTATTCATACCACGTAAATATCGCAAATTTTTAAAATGTATTTTTCAATGCTTGTTTACAGCGGTGTGTTATTACTTAAAACAGCAATTTTAATTTTAAAATGAATGGTTACGAATTTTCTTTTTTTATAGAAAAACGTCTTGAGTCACAATAATACGCATTGCGTTTTAAAAAAAAATAGCATTAAGTGCTTAGAAAAAATGTTTTTTAAAAAAAGCTAAGGAAAATTCTAAGAGTAATTCAGATGCAGTTAAAGAAAGAAAATGAACTTCCTTCTTTAGTTTAAAAGCCACAATTTAAAAAAATATATATATTTTATACCGTGAAAAATTAATAGAAAATTAAAGATTCTCGAATTCTGTAATTGAATTAATTCTCAAGTAAAGATGATAGAAAGATAAAAATAAAACGTGAAAATAATTCGTTGCAGTTTGTGTTGCTCGAAAGAAGGAAGGTTGGAAGAAAAAACGTGGTATGAATGAAAAATAGTGTAGAAAACTCGCTGTCCCTGTTTTCTTATCAGCAGCCGTGATACCCAAACAACTGGGTAAAACACAGAATATGAATTGACTTTTAAAGAAAAAAGAAGTGGGATCGTCAATTGAACAACGTGGAAGAAAATGAATCACATTCCGACCAACTTGTGACGTCAGAACAGCGTTCCCGCGTGGAACTTGGCAATAAATTCGCTCGCTTAGTTATGCCTTATTTGTTGTTTACAATCCACATGAATGTTTTTTTACACGTACATTGAGAAGGATGTTTTTAATGCATTTTTGTTTTAAAACTAAAATAAATCTTTAATGCTTACATAGTGATTAAATGTTTGTGGCGTTGTATTAAAAGAATTAAAAAAAAGCAAACTTTGTTATTTTTATTTTCACAACGTTTCGACCGTCGTGTCTTCATCCGGCTCTTCGTCTGAAACGTAATAAAAACAAAGATGAGGACATTAGTTCAACTGTAAATAAATAATGATAACTCATAATTCCAAAAATTCAGTCAGAAAAAAAGCAAGCTGTTTAAAAAATCTATTAAATTTGCTACGGTAGAGTTTTTTTTTTTGTTTTTTTTTTTAGCTAAGCTAGGCGAATGCGAAAAATGATTTTTATTTTAAAAAAATGAAGTTTCGTATTTTTATTATTTATCGAATTACAGAATAATTGATATATTTTATTTTAATGTTCATTAGAACTCGTTAGATTTTCATTTTCCAAATAAACAGATTCCAGACACAGGAAGGAAAGTCTGAATCTCTTGTTTTAGTTCCAAAAACTTACACTGTAAGTGTAAATAATTGTCTTAGCAAAATAGATTTTTCATTAAACTCAGAACCTTAGGCTTTTTATTATTGTTAATTAATAGTTTTTTGACCGACAAATCAACAGTGACCAAAAAAAATGGTTCTAGAAGTTAAAAACCTATCCACCTCCTTCATCTTCTTTTTGACACGTGGTGAAACATTAAAAACTTAAAAAGTATCAAATAATTTTTTTTAATACATCCGTGTTTTTTGTTCTTATTTTAAAAGTATCATTAGTTGTTGGCACTCCTAACTACTAAGGTTAGCAAAGGTTTCCGTTGAGGATCGAACTCTGTGAAATGAGCCAAAATCGTTGGTCCATGGCGACATTTTTAAAGCATATTTCTCGCTTTCTGGGGCATTTTAGAGAGTATTATTTGCTGAATAAGCCGATCAAACAATAAACATTAACTACAATTTATTATTACTTTGTACTTACTGTAAGTGTAATTGAAATTGTAGTAAACTACATTTTTAATTCAACAGTCAATTAATTCTACAAACAAAAGGGCACAATGAACAAAAAGACTGGGATAATGTGATGTACCGTGTACGTCATCATGGTTTGCAAACTTGTCTCGCTACACATCACTTACGAATGAGTCGTGAGTTCGATCTACATTGGGTGCCCTATACTTGCGGCCTTGTGCCACATCTAAGGCACATTTCGACGTGATGTAATCGTCTCTGGGCGTTGTATCCTTGCGATATTGTGCCAGCACGCTTAGTAAATGATTATTTCAAGAAAAAAAGATCGATCATTCTGTTCTCGTGGCTAACGCTTTTTAAAATTTAAGGCAAGCACAATAAAGTGCTCAATTTTTAAAAAATAGAAAATTACTATTTACTTATTTATAGCATTCAAAATTGGCGGAATTCTACTGTTTAGGAGGTATTGACAATTTTAGTTGGGTCCCGATTACCCTGGTCACTTGGGCATTAATCGAAGTCACTAATCAAGGGCAACCGGGACCCAACTAAAATTGTTAAAGTATCTGTATCTCCTAAACAGTAGATTTCCGCTAATTTTCATGCTATTCATGAAATAATCAGGCAGTCAGGCTTTTTTGCAACAGGAATGATACTTTTTTTTTTTTAAATTTGTTACTGTGGCATTGTGTGTAATTGGGGCCAGTAAACTTTCACACAGTAATCGAGGGTAACCGGGACCCAACTAAAAAAATTATCAATGTCTCCTAAGCTAAACGGCAGATTTCCACCAATTTTTAATGCTATTTTTTTTTTTTTTTTTTTGAATAATCAGGCGATTTTACACCAGGAATAGTATATATTTTTGTTAAATTTGTCATCTGCAAATTTACCTTCTTAATTTGTTTGTAGTTTAAGTTACTCAACTGTGTGCGTGTGTATTTTAGCGAACTGTTGCAGAAGCAAATAAACTTAAACTACTATTTAAAAGTGGACCCGCGCACGCATGTACGGGAGGATAATGTTTTGAAAGCGTTTCTTTTCTTTACTTTTCACAATGGCATGTTTCTTTAAAAATAAAATTAAATAAATATTGTTATTTTTTAAATACTGTTTTTTATACAAAAATTATTGCAAAAATTGTAATTGTAAAGTTTAAAAATTAAGGATTTTTAGTATTATTTTTGTTAAATTAACGCACGCTTGTCCACTTTTTTGTAAGAAATCTAACATGAACGAATGTATAAATTCGAAGTTCCATCAATAATTAGAAAAAAATTAATATCACTTTTTTCTTTTTTAATTTAAAAATGCTATGTTCCTTCAGAAGGCGATTATGGCTCTAGCTAGATTCCATTTCTTATCTTATCTGTGATTTACCATGGCTTCTTGGGAAATTGTAAGGGAATGTTTTCCCGTTGTCTTCTCCATGGTTTTGATTTCAATAGTCCTCTTCCTAGATTGTCTGCTACCCAAAGCTAAAGTGGTTCAGACTATTACCCTGCTATTTAATTTTAAAGGTAAGCTACAGCTGGTGGAGAAATTGAAGAAAATACATATTTTCTTCAATTTCTCCACCATGGGGTTTCAAAAAAAAAAAAAAAAAAAAAGTGAACGCAACAGACTAGGCTGAAATCTGAAATCGGTTCGATAACCGTCACGCTACCCGCACGCGCGTATGCGACTTGAAGCATATTCGTTGTATTCTATACTGTGCTATACTATGCAGAACTCAGGGGGAGATAAGCGAATTCAGCAGAGGGAGCCACTAGTACAATCGGAGCTGGAAACAAGCAAGAAGCGGCATGGTAAATGGACAAATAATGTTTTCTCTACTTCTTTTGTCGTTTGCAGCTATCTAATACCATATTCCTTGGTTTAATTTTGCAAAATCACTCTCCTTGCTTGTCTCTTTTAATTACGTTCATGCTATTATATAACTTGAAAAGTCGTTTGTTCATTCATGTTTTCGTAATCAATCAGTTACTAAGTCGGTCTGCCGACAAAATGAAAGCATGATGTATCTTTATTTATTTCAATGTGGCTAATGTCTTCTGTAATTTATATAAACCGGTATATGATGATTTGATTTTTTTTCCTCAGTTTAACTTCTCAAATTTTAAAAATTGCTAGATCGTTTTTTACCCTTTTTTAAAAAACGTTTGTTTAGTGGTCTGGTCTTTGTTTGTTAGCCATGGAAGAAGACGAAAGAGACAGGATCAATTTTTCCTACCCCTCATCAATAGGTAACCTTAACCAGGTCTTTATTTGCTCAGAAGAAGGCTGTAATAGTCGATTTTCAAAGAGATCCTATCTAGAACAGCACATGTGTATTCACACGAGCGAGCGGCCATTCGTTTGTCCGAACGAGAACTGCAACAAAAGTTACAAACGAAAAGACCACCTCAACCGTCATACGAAGCAGTGTCCATCATCACACCCTGGTGAACGTGCTTTGTCCCCTTGCGCAGTTGAAGGCAGTGAACAGAAGCTCATAAATAGTGATTATCTATCTAAACAAATTCGTACCTTGCACGTAACGAAAAAGAGAACATTTCCTTGTCCTATTGATGGCTGTTCACAGATATTTAAAAAACACCAAGAACTTAAGGCCCACGAATTTGATCACACCCAAAAAAACCCTTTCGAGTGTCCTCACCCTGGCTGTGAAATGTCTTTCCGATGGATGAATCGTCTCAAGCGACACATGAAAATCCACAAAGGCTACAGCTGCCCTGAGTGCGAAGAGAAATTTGAAAAGTGGACTCTCTTACTGAAACACAAGACTTCTGCCCACCAGGTGCAACAAATTTGTGCTGTGTGCAAAAAAACTTTCTCACATCGACATCGGTTAAAGGTACACATGAAGATCCACTCTGAAGAGAGAGAAGTGTTTGAATGTCCACGAGAGGGCTGTGTACGGTATTATTCAGAAAAACGAAACTTGGATGCCCATATTAGATCATACCATGACGGTCGACGTTTTCCATGTATGCACGAAAGCTGTAACCAAACATTTGCTTTCAAACACAAAATGCTTGAACACCTTAAGTCACACTCGATCACAGGAAAGTTTAAAAAGAAATTTCCTAAAAAGGGTCATCGTAAAAAGAATGTTGTTTCACTGCTAACTGGTATTAAAAATGAGACAGTTGTGAAAGAATCTTTAAATAGTGATGCGTTACTGCCTTTGTCTTCAAACACAACAGAATCCTTTCCCACATTACCTTCCTGTGATTGGGGAGGAGGTAGTGACATTTGGGGTAGGAATAATTTCAGTAAATCGGAAGAAGATAATGCTTCTGTTCTAAAACCTATGGAAACTCCAAGGAAAGATCCCAGTGACGGTGATCTCTATCTGCTTACTGAGGATCATGTCCAAACAACCACTAATGATATAGAAAATTCCAAAGATAAATGGATTCCCAGTGGTAACTGTAAGGAATATACTCATGCTATGCCAAAATTTGGCAATACTATGCCAACTTCAAAATCCCAAATTCACTCTATTCATACATTAGGCACAATCAACCCATCAGATGTTTGCTCCTTAACCAACACAGAAACAAACTCTGAATGTGAGACTATAAAGTCAACACAAGTGAATAACAACAAACCACTGCCATCTTCAGACAACCATTTGCAGAGTTACAAAAATTCTCAACTTACCACTGTCACATGCGAGGGTATATGTGATGAGGTCCCCCCAGAAACCAACCCTGACCCCAAACTTGCAGATGATCATGCTGAAAACAATCCTTCTGTAAAGGATGAACATGTACTTAACACTGGACAGACTCCAACTGACAATCTGTTTCAATGTTCATTGTGTTCAGAGTCTTTCATGTGCAATTCTCTGTTGAGAGAACACCAGGAACAGCACCCAAAAGAGCCCCAGAGTTTCCCCTGTCCAAGAAAGAACTGTCAGAACATCTACACAATGCAGCAAAAACTCAATTTACATCTGCAGTGTGATCACGATGGACTTGGATTTCTGTGCATGTATGCCAATTGTGGTATGGTGTTTGACTCAAAACGTGCCCTTGAGAGGCATTTTAACTTGCACAATGTTAAAATGCGACAGAAAAAGAAAGACAGATTGGCCCATATTATTTCCGAGAATTCTTTTTGATCAAGCTTGTTATTTTTTTTTGTGTGTGATAAAAATTACCATCTTTGTTTTTTCTCTTATAGAAATGGTAATGAATTGATGCTACTATCAACTCCTTTTAAAAGACTGCATAGGTTTCTAACAACTTTTGCATATGATCCATGCTTTATATAATAAAAGATATTCAAATAATTAAGTTACCTCTGAAGAAAAAAATAGATCTATTGCTAACCGTTTGAACTATGAATAAACTGGCAATAATGTATAGAATATATTTTTATATATTTTTCTCAAGTTTTGTCTATAAGCTTAAGAGTTAATAACAAGTTCAACTCCTGTTTATTCTGTGTACATTTGCTAACAATGAAAAGTGAATTTATTACACATTTACAAAATGAAAATTGTCTAGATTTCAACACAATGATTTTCTTTGCTGAGCTAAAATGGATGTTGGGAAATTCATCAATGGATCATTTTGAAATACTGTGAGAGTAGCAAGCATACAAAGAGATTTCAGTGTTCAAGCAATGTTGTAGATATATATAGCTGAGTTTTGTTTCTCATAAGTTTATTGTGCAAATTTTATTGCTATCATATTCCATAATACATTCATTTATTTTTCCTTTTTGTAATAGTGAATTTATAAAATGCTTTATTAAAATCAATTGAGACATCTCTAAGAAATACAAGTACACGCATACTGATTTCTATATTAAAAATTAATTATTAATTATCTGAGCCATGTCCAACCATGTCAGTGTAATGTCTAAGTATTTCTTGTTTGATTCATTTATTTACTAGCAGCTGAAGCAAAAAAAAAACACTTCCTGTATCTCCAACAACAATATAAACATAATGAAAACTCTAATCTTTTTAATTTTTTTATTTTATATATTTATATATGATTGACTCTCCCATCGATTTCAATGTATGTGGATCCAACAACCCCATCATTTTTTTTGTTTTGTCATATGTGACATTTCACTCCCACTAGTAACCTGCATACAAGTCCACATATTGTGCAACATTGAGGATCTCAGGACATAGCAACAGGAATATTTGCTTAAACTTTTCACCATTGTCTTTTGTCTCTTAGCCAGTCAATATAACTGATTCTGAAATTTCTGATACCACTCTGTCACAAATATCTCCAGTTATTTCTATCCGGGGCAACTTGCTTGAAGTTAGTATGAGGCACATTGGCAGCTGAGAGGTTACTCTTTATCTTGTCTTTATATCTGAGCCATATATATATATATATATATATATATATATATATATATATATATATATATATAAAATATAAAAAACACTGTTGGTGGAACCAACAGACAACTTGTGAAAACCTAAAACTCATATCCAGATAAAAGATATCTCAATAAAAACAACTCAAATAAAAACAACAATACTGAAAAAAAAAAGACAAAAAAGGTCTAAAAGCAAACTTACCTACTCTGTACAGTGATCGAAGCTTAGGTCACCTAGGCCGAGCAAAAAGCACTTACCAACATTAAATCCTATAAAAGGATGGCTCTAGTCATAACTGGAGTTTTACAGTCACACGATCTTCAGATGACTATAGATAGATGTTATTTTCATAGAAAATATGTAATTTAAAGCTGAAAGTATTGAAATTTTCACTTTTTTTTATTTTTTTTACAAGAATCACTATATAAGGATATTATGCCTTGATTTTGATCTTTTTTGCTGATTCCTGCTGTAAAGAATGTCTAATGATCAGATATAGCATTAATGTGGTTCTAAAAGGCCATAAGTCAACATACATCTTTTTTGCATGTTTTCACATTTTTGAAATGTGCAAACTGCTCTAACATGGGCAATATTTTGATACAAAGACCTTTTTGTGAAGTTTGGCCCCAATTTTTTTGTATAAAAAAATTAAAAAAAGTCATTATGCAAAAACAGGTATGTTAGAGCCTTTTCAAAAAAAATTTTCTCATTTCACAAAAAGAGAATTCACTTGTACTCTTAATCGTTTTGGTTTATGTGATGCAATATTTTAAAATGAAGAACGTAATGAAATTTTATAATAATTTTATAAACTATTAATAATCCACATGTAAATAATGTAAACAATAACTTATCATTCCAGAAATTCAAACAGAAATTGCTTCTTTCTGTTTGTCCATGCTTTGCCAATTTCATTCAAGAGGAGTTGTTTCTTTTTTTTATTGGAATCCCTCTATGTAAGGCAGTAAAGCCACTAAGACACAAGGTGTGCAGGAGTTAGAAACAGAAACATTAATAATGAGCAGGAAGAGAAAAGAGTAATCGGGTGTTTTGCAGATTAAAGTTGGCTGGAAAGCATGGAGCCAGAAAGGAGTTCCACAAGCAAGAAGTGTGAGAAAAGAAAAATGCTAGCATAGAACTTATGGATATATCTAGCCAGCTCAACTTTAAATTGATGAGATCTTAATGCCAGTCTAATTCTACCCTTAAATTAAAAAAAAATCTAGGTACCACAGCTTACCATGAAAGTATTTATAGAAAAGGCACAGAGAGGCAACTTTGCAGTGGTGGGAAAGTGACTGAAGCTGTGCTACCAGACCTGAACTAATAATATGGGTGATTCTTTTTGTCAATAAGAGACCATTGTTGAGATCTGGTTAAACAGCAGAATGTCAAATGCTGATTTTCAAGACAAGCTTAATATTCTTCCCTGATTGCTACGCTACA